CAAACACAGTATACACACAGTACAAACACAGTACAAACACAGTATACACACAGTACAAACACAGTACAAACACAGTATACACACAGTATACACACAGTACAAACACAGTATACACACAGTACAAACACAGTATACACACAGTACAAACACAGTATACACACAGTATACACACAGTACAAACACAGTACAAACACAGTATACACAGTACAAACACAGTATACACACAGTACAAACACAGTATACACACAGTACAAACACAGTATACACACAGTATACACACAGTACAAACACAGTATACACACAGTACAAACACAGTATACACACAGTACAAACACAGTATACACACAGTACAAACACAGTATACACACAGTACAAACACAGTACAAACACAGTATACACACAGTACAAACACAGTATACACACAGTATACACACAGTACAAACACAGTATACACACAGTACAAACACAGTACAAACACAGTATACACACAGTACAAACACAGTATACACAGTACACACACAGCACACATACTGTACAAACACAGTACACACACATCACACACACATCACACACACAGTGCACACTGTATACACACAGCACACACACAGCACACACTGTATACACAGTACACACACTGTATACACAGTACACACACTGTATACAAAGTACACACACAGTACACACACTGTATACACAGTACACACACTGTATACACAGTACACACTGTATACACAGTACACACACACTACACACACAGTACACACTACACACACACACAGTACACACACACAGCACACACATCACACAGTACACACATCACACAGTACACACATCATACGGTACACACACACACGGTACACACGGTACACACCACACTGTACACACAGTACACACACACACTACACACTGTACACACACACGGTACACATACACGGTACACACGGTACACACACACGGTACACACACGGTACACACACACACGGTACACACACACACACGGTACACACACACGGTACACACACACACTACACACTGTACACACACACACACACGGTACACACACACATAGTACACACACAGTACGCACACACACTACACACTGTACACACACACAGTACACACACAGTACACACACAGTACACACACACACTACACACAGTACACACTACACACACACAGTACACACACACTACACACTGTACACACACACAGTACACACACAGTACACACAGTACAAAGTACACACACACAGACTACACACACAGTATACACACAGTACACACACACACAGTACACACAGTACACACTACACACACAGTACACACACTACACACACACTACACACTGTACACACACACAGTACACACACTACACACTACACACACTACACACTGTACACACACAGTACACACACTACACACTGTACACACACAGTACACACTACACACACACACAGTACACACTACACACACAGTACACAGTACACACACTACACACACACTACACACTGTACACACACACAGTACACACACTATACACTACACACTGTACACACACACAGTACACACAGTACACACTACACACACAGTACACACTACACACTGTACACACACACACAGTACACACACTACACACTGTACACACACACAGTACACACTACACACTGTACACACACACAGTACACACTACACACACAGTACACACTACACACTGTACACACACACAGCACACACTACACACTGTACACACACACGGTACACACTACACACAGTACACACACACACACTACACACACACTACACACTGTACACAGTACACACACTACACACAGTACACACACACTACACACAGTACACACACACACTACACACACACTACACACTGTACACGGTACACACTACACACTCTACCTGTTCTCTTGTCCCTCTCCTCATCCAGGCGTCTCTGAGCTAATTTCTCGTATTCACTCCGGTCCCATTTCCTCCTGAAGTCTATGTCTGCGGCCTGCACAGACACACAAAGACACAGACAAAGATCCCCCGTGTAGCCTTAACAGACCCTAGGGGCAAGTGCCGTTAGCGAGCAGCACCTATGAAGGCCGACGCAGCACACGAGGGGGTGGGTGGCCAGCACCACGCCCGGCCGCCTTTGTCTCCCCAGTGGCGATGTTCGCTACCACACCGCATCAGGTACTCATTTGAGGTTGAGTCGACCTAGGGGAGGCCCAGGACCGGTTCAGATAATCGTCACCGATGGTGTTGGCCGTGAGCGGGAATCGAACCCGGTTCAACCGGGTTCATAGCGCAGCGTAGCGCTAACCGCAGCCTGCACACACACAGAGACACAGACAAAGATCCCCCGTGTAGCCTTAACGCACTGTAGGGGCAAGTGCTGTTAGTGTAGCAGCAGCAGCAGCAGCGCCTACGAAGGCTACCGGCACTGTGGCACACACAGAGGGGGTGGGTGGCCAGCACCACGCCCGGCCGTCTTTGTCTCTCCCCCTCCTCCCCCCAGTGCTACTAGCCACCGTGATCATGAGAGAGAGAGAGAGAGAGACGCAGACTCCAAGTATACAGCAGCAGGCGTCGTCAAATTCCGGGATTGAACCCACGACCTCCTGTGTACCAGGCGAGGTAGTCAACATCTCTCAGTGTCTGGGATTGAACCCACGACCTCCTGTGTACCAGGCGAGGTAGTCAACATCTCTCAGGGTCTGGGATTGAACCCACGACCTCCTGCGTACCAGGCGAGGTAGTTGACATCTCTCAGCGTCTGGGATTGAACCCACTACCTCCTGTGTACCAGGCGAGGTAGTCAACATCTCTCAGTGTCTGGGATTGAACCCACGACCTCCTGTGTACCAGGCGAGGTAGTCAACATCTCTCAGTGTCTGGGATTGAACCCACGACCTCCTGTGTACCAGGCGAGGTAGTCAACATCTCTCAGTGTCTGGGATTGAACCCACGACCTACTGTGTACCAGGCGAGGTAGTCAACATCTCTCAGGGTCTGGGATTGAACCCACAACCTCCTGTGTACCAGGCGAGGTAGTCGACATCTCTCAGTGTCTGGGATTGAACCCACGATCTCCTGTGTACCTAGAGAGGTAGTCAACATCTCTCAGTGTCTGGGATTGAACCCACGACCTCCTGTGTACCAGGCGAGGTAGTCGACATCTCTCAGTGTCTGGGATTGAACCCACGACCTCCTGCGTACCAGGCGAGGTAGTCAACATCTCTCAGTGTCTGGGATTGAACCCACGACCTCCTGTGTACCAGGCGAGGTAGTCAACATCTCTCAGTGTCTGGGATTGAACCCACGACTTCCTGCGTACCGAGCGAGGTAGTCAACGTCTCCTAGCCAACCTCGACTTTCCTCGTTAAAACAAACCAGTACATCAATGACACTAACAACTCTCGTCGTCAATTAATGTTGACAGCGTTCGAGTTAACTTATAATAATTTATAACAGTTATACCGGGAGACACCTCCGGTCTGGCCTGGCTCAGCCCCGCGGGAAGCCTGCGCTAGGCCGCCGGCCGCCGGTCCAATCCGAGGCCGCCGCGGTCTCGGCGTCGAGGCCTTGGTCAATGTAATCTCGCGCAGGTGAGGGGGCGGGGGGGGGTGATCGACGCTGCACACAAGCGACTGCGCTCGCTTCAAGCGATCGAACGTTTAACGCGAGGCCAACGAAGCAAAACGACCGCCGAATTTTTTTTTAATTTAAAATTAAAAAAACTCGTCACCTCCTTTGAACTCCCGCCGCCGGACGCCATTTTCACGCAATTGAGCAATAATCGATTCCACGACGAGTTCGCTTTCGATTCCACGGCCGCGTTTATCGACTCCGTAGGCGTTGACGTTTAAACACAAAAAAAGTAATCGTAACCTTCGATTCGATTCAACACATCCGGTTTCACCGCCCGCCCGCATTGAGGCGACAACCGATTCGGAATCGCACATTTTTCTTATATATTTTTTTAAATAGGGAATCGATTCGGATAAATGCCACTTTCGACTGAGCTAATGTGGGCGAAGTGAACTTTAAAAAAAACTAAAAATTGAATTTCGTTTTTTTTTGGCTTTGCCAGTGTGAAACGTGTGAAATAGACGGGAGAGTCGGAGCTTTTGCCCTCCCTGGCCATTATAAAACTGCAAGTGTGTTCGGTTGTTGCGGAAACAACCCAAATTTAGATTTGAATATTTTATTTTGCTAGGAATTTTGACTTTACAATTTTCGTGACCGTAAGAACGCAAATTAATGGTTCGTTCGGTAACGCCACGTGGGTAGACAATAACAATAAGTAATAATATTTAAATAAACTTGAAAAAAAAAACACGCTTTAATGAAATGTACCGTACTTAGTTATATAGCGTAAATTTTTGTTCAAATTGTTCTTGCTGTGGTTTTCACACCTGATGATGATTGCTTCTTGTGTTGCAGTCGAAAAGTCGTGATAATTTTATTGGTTTATATTTTTTATTATTTTATTGTTTCCCAATCTACGTGGTGGTGATTTACCGAAAGAACCAAGAATAATAATTTTATTGTTTTACAATAATTTTATTGTTTTATATTTTTATTATTTTATTGTTTCCCAATATACGTGGTGGTGATTTACCGAAAGAACCAAGAATAATAATTTTATTTTTTTACAATAATTTTATTGTTTTATATTTGTATTATTTTATTGTTTCCCTATCTACGTGGTGGTGACTTTACCGAAAGAACCAAGAATAATAATTTTATTGTTTTACAATAATTGTATTGTTTTATATTTTTTATTATTTTATTGTTTCCCCTATCTACGTGGTGGTGACTTTAACCGAAAGAACCAAGAATAATAATTTTATTGTTTTACAATAATTTTATTGTTTTATATTTTTATTATTTTATTGTTTCCCCTATCTACGTGGTGGTGACTTTACCGAAAGAACCAAGAATAATAATTTTGTTTTACAATAATTTGATTTCGATTTAAAGCTTTCGTGACTGCAAGGATTCATCTTCTTTGGTTCTTTCGGTAAAGTCACCACCACGTAGTAAATTGAAAAAATAAAATAACACAATATTCTCACGACGTTTCGGCCACAACACAAGCGGCCTTCATCAGGTGAAGGGACGAGACTGTCTGGAGGACAGCGCTGGAGTGAAGTGAAGTGATGACGTCACCCTGCTGCTGCATTATTTAAAACCGGGAGCAAGTGGAGAGGGCTTTACCATTCTGGCGAATTGCCCGATGATGCTGGATGTATTTTTACCAGCGAAACGTCACAGCACAACTCAAACTGTAAATGTTGCGGATTCACTCTTCAACAACACCACCGGTGGGGGGGGCTAAAGTAAGTGAACTATTTTGCGTCTTTTTGTCAACGTGACAACTGTTTTTTTGTTGCCGATCGGCCGTGTCGGGTGGTGGAGGGTGTACGACGCGTTCATAAACAAAGCGACCTAACCCAAAAAACCACCTTTATTATGAATAAGATCACACCAGCTAGACCCCGGGGGCTCCTCCGGGCCCGCCGTCCTTCCGAGGGCCCGGTACTCGTGGGGCGGGCGGTCGTGACCTACGCCGGAGCCGGGCTAGGTCAACCCGGCCCTGTCGGGGGAGAGATAGGGCCGGGTTGGAGCGAACCAGGGCTAAGGCTCGGGGGACCGATCCCCCTGTAGAGTACGGGTGGAGAGGACCGCTACCTCTACCAAGCATGGGATTCGTTGCTGTGATCGAGGCGTTGGTAATGGAACACGTGTTGGCCTCTACGGAGAGTCTCCGGCGCCACCGAGGCCACTACACGTAGACACCCACGGTCACAGAGAGACGCATAGAGACCCACAGAGATACATAGAGACCCATAGAGACGCAGAGAGACCCACAGAGATACATAGAGACACAGAGAGACCCACAGAGACCCACAGAGATACATAGAGACACAGAGAGACCCACAGAGATACATAGAGACCCATAGAGACACAGAGAGACCCACAGAGACGCAGAGAGACCCACAGAGACCCACAGAGATACATAGAGACCCATAGAGACGCAGAGAGACCCACAGAGACCCATCAAGATACATAGAGACACAGAGAGACCCACAGAGACCCACAGAGATACATAGAGACACAGAGAGACACAGAGAGACCCACAGAGACCCACAGAGACCCATCAAGATACATATAAACCCATAGAGACGCAGAGAGACCCACAGAGACCCACAGAGATACATAGAGACCCATAGAGACGCAGAGAGACCCACAGAGACCCACAGAGATACATAGAGACCCATAGAGACACAGAGAGACCCACAGAGACCCACAGAGATACATAGAAACCCATAGAGACGCAGAGAGACCCACAGAGACCCACAGAGACACCCATAGAGTCACACAGAGATATAGAGTGGGTTAGTCTGCCAGTAGGAGGGTGATGGTGACTGCTGCTGTGTGGGTCTCTAGCCTAGGGGCACCCCCAGTGGCAGCTGTCCCTGTGGGTCAGTCTGCTGCCTGTAGGATTTGGTGATGTTACTGCTGCTGTGTGGGTCTCTGGCCTAGGGGCACCCCCAGTGGCAGCTGTCCTTGTGGGTCAGGGTGATGGTCACCGCTTTGTGCTCCTATTGCCGAGGGTCACAACCGTGCGTTCGTGTGCGCGGCCACGCTAGGGCTGAACGATTAATCGATTTCACATCGATTAATCGACTTCACATCGATTTCAATCGCAATTTGAAACAACGCGATTATGAAATCGCAAAGGCTGCGATTTTTTTTGCGATTTCGAAAACCCCCTTGCTATAACTTGCTCATTGGAATTGCTTCATTTTGTTTTCTCTTAACTTCATTTATTTATCTTCTTTGGTTCTTTCGGTAAAGTCACCACCACGTAGAATGAGAATAAAATAATAAATTGATTAAATAAAATAACACGACAATAATATTCTCACGACGTTTCACAGCGCTGTCCTACCAGACAGTCTCGTCCCTTCACCTGATGAAGGCCGCTTGTGTTGTGGCCGAAACGTCGTGAGAATATTATTGCGTTATTTTATTTAATCAAGTTATTATTTTATTATTCTCATTCTACGTGGTGGTGGTGACTTTACCGAAAGAACCAAAGAAGACGAATCCTTGCAGTCACGAAAGCTTTAAATCGAAATTTCATTTATTTAACTTAACAATTGTTCTACGTTTAATTGCGCTATTTCAATTAAAGCATTTTTTAAAATTATAAATAAATGTTGGAAGCAATTCTCGCATTTTAAGTTCTCGAGCCGTGCATTTAGAATATACAGAGGGCGGTTCATATTGAGATGGTGTCACGTGGTAATTATCCAACACGTGTTTTACATCCGTTACACTGTGAATATTCAACTGAAGTTTCACTTTACCAAAAAAAATGTCATCGCAAATCGCAATGTCGGAAAAATCGCAATGAGATCTTTCCCCCCCCAATCGTTCAGCCCTAGCCCACGTGTCCGTGTGTCTTTGTGTCCGTGTGTCTTTGTGTCCGTGTGTCTTTGTGTCCGTGTGTCTTTGTGTCCACGTGTCTTTGTGTCCACGTGTCTTTGTGTCTACGTGTCTTTGTGTCCGTGTCTTTGTGTCCGTGTCTTTGTGTCCGTGTCTTTGTGTCCGTGTCTTTGTGTCCGTGTCTTTGTGTCCACGTGTCTTTGTGTCCACGTGTCTTTGTGTCCGTGTGTCTTTGTGTCCGTGTGTATTTGTGTCCGTGTGTCTTTGTGTCCACGTGTCTTTGTGTCCGTGTGTCTATGTCCGTGTGTCTTTGTGTCCGTGTGTCTTTGTGTCCGTGTCTTTGTGTCCACGTCTTTGTGTCCGTGTGTCTTTGTGTCCGTGTCTTTGTGTCCGTGTCTTTGTGTCCGTGTGTCTTTGTGTCCGTGTCTTTGTGTCCGTGTGTCTTTGTGTCCACGTGTCTTTGTGTCCGTGTCTTTGTGTCTACGTGTCCGTGTCCACGTGTCCGTGTGTCCACGTGTCCGTGTGTCTTTGTGTCCGTGTCTTTGTGTCTACGTGTCCGTGTGTCTTTGTGTCCACGTGTCTTTGTGTCCGTGTGTCCGTGTCTTTGTGTCCGTGTGTCTTTGTGTCCGTGTCATTGTGTCTACGTGTCCGTGTCTTTGTGTCCGTGTGTCTTTGTGTCCGTGTCTGTGTCCACGTGTCTTTGTGTCCGTGTGTCCGTGTGTCTTTGTGTCTTTGTGTCCACGTGTCTGTGTCTTTGTGTCCGCGTGTCCGTGTGTCCGCGTGGTGTTGGGGGGTTCTGGGTCGGCACGGCGCTGCAAGTTGAGAGCTGAAGACAGCGGAGACTTTTATTAAATTCAGCACCGCTCAGGAGGACACGACCACGACTAAGCCGAGGCAACCGCCGTCGCCACGGCAACCGCCATCGCCAAGGCAACCACTGCCAAGGCAACCGCCACTGCCGTCGCCACGGCAACCACCGCCCACCACGGCAACCGCCACTGCCGTCGCCACGGCAACCGCCCGCCAGCGTCGGCAATGACCACCGGCCTCGATGGCGGCCATTGGGAATGAAGTCCTGGGGGGCGGGGCGGGGGCGGGGCGGGGGCGGGGCGTGCCGCCAGCTGCGTCGTCGTCTTCGTCACTCGGCGATAACGAAGAGGGGGAGGGGCCACGGGGTGGAGGGGAGGGGCCACGGGGTAGTGGGAGGGGCCACCGGCTGGTGGAGGGGCCACGGGCTGGTGGATGGGAGGGGCCACGGGGTGCTGGAGGGGAGGGGCCACGGGGTGGAGGGGAGGGGCCACTAGGTGGAGGGGGAGGGGCCACGGGGTGGAGGGGGAGGGGCCACGGGGTGGAGGGGGAGGGACTTACTAAAAAAAACGTCACCCCCCCCACCTCCCCACAACAACAAAATAATAATAGTGAATAATAATAGTGAATAATAATAGTGAATCGTGATTAATATCGTAACGGGGGTGGGGGGGGGAGTTAGACCGCGCACAGTATTTACACATATATATAACGTCTCTTAAAAAACACAACCCGTGTCTCTCACACTCAGACTCACACACTCACTCACACACTCCCTCTCAGACTCTCACACACTCACACACACTCACACACTCTCACTCACACACTGAGACCCACTCTCACACAGACTCTCACTCGCTCACAATCTCTCACTCTCTCAGACTCTCACTCTCTCAGACTCTCACTCTCTCAGACTCTCACACACTCTCTCACACACTCTCTCACACTCTCTCACACTCTCTCACACTCTCTCACACTCTTACACGCTCTCACTCACACTTACACACTCTCTCACACGCTCTCACACACTCACACACTCTCTCACACACACACAAAGACAAAGATCCCCCATATAGCCTTAACAGACTGTAGGGGCAAGTGCTGTTAGCGAGCACCTATGAAGGCCGGAACGGTACACGAGGGGTGGGTGGCCAACACCACGCCCGACCGCCTTTGTCTCCCCAGTGGCGATGTTTACACACCGCACCAGGTACTCATTTGAGGCTGAGTCGACCTAGGGGAGGCCCGGGACCGGTTCAGATAATCGTCACTGGTGTTGGACGTGAGCGGGAATCGAACCCGGGTCGCCAGGTTCATAGCGCAACGCGCTAACCGCTACACTACACACTCACACACACTCTCTCACACACACTCTCTCACACACACACACACTCTCACACACACACTCTCACACACACACACACACACTCTCACACACACACACACTCTCTCACACTCTCTCACACACACACTCACACACACACACTCTCTCACACTCTAACACACTCTCTCACACACACACACACTCTCACACACACACACACTCTCACACACACACACACTCTCACACTCACACACACTCTCACACACTCTCACACACACACACTCTCTCACACTCTCTCACACACACACTCTCTCACACTCACACACTCTCTCACACTCTCACACACACACACACACTCTCTCACACTCTCTCACACACACACTCTCTCACACTCTCACACTCACACACTCTCTCACACACACACACACACTCTCACACACTCTCTCACACACACACTCACTCGCTCTGGACGAGACGGGGCGAGAGAGCGAGACGATCAGCACGGAGACCACGCACCTACAACAGCTGCGGCAAACGCGACAGACAACTACGGACAAAGACGAAACCTCTTCTGTACAAACCGCACGGGGGGGTGGGGCCGGGCAACGTAATCCTCACGTGGTCCACCAACCCCCCAAAGCCCCGTCACGTCCCATTCCGGGGATGTGCGGCGGTGTACGGCGTGGATCCTCGCCATCCCACGACCCCCACGACCCCCACGACCCCCGGCCCGGTCGGGGGGTTTGTTGGGGGCGGTACAAAAAAACAAAATGAACGAGACTCCAAAAGGGTTTCTTTCGGCCGCAGAAATCCAAATCCACTGGCGGTGTGTCTCCGCCGCCATCAACGCCGCCATCACCGCCATCACCGCCGCCATCACCGCCATCACCGCCGCCATCACCGCCATCACCGCCGCCATCACCGCCGCCATCACCGCCATCACCGCCATCACCGCCATCGCCGCCATCACCGCCATCGCCGCCATCACCGCCGCCATCACCGCCATCACCGCCGCCATCACCGCCATCACCGCCGCCATCACCGCCATCACCGCCGTCGGTCCACGCAGCAGCGGCGGTGGCGGGAGACTGGAGAGGTGGGGTAGGCGGGTGTGGAACGAGCGGGACGCCGTGCAGGGCGGGCGAGGCGAGGCGAGGCGAGGGAAACTCGGGAAACCGAGCGGAGCGCCGTCACCCCAGGAAGTCGTCCAGGTCGTTGATCCAATCGTCGGCGCTGCCCCCGGCGCCGCCACCCCCCCTCACCAGCGAGTCGATGAAGTCGGCTCCGTTCCCCAGCGCCGACAGGTCGAACCCCGCCAGCTCGTGCACTGCCGCCGCCGCCGGCACCGTCGCCGACGCCGCCGCTGCCTCCGTCGTCGGCGTCGGCGGCGGTGCCGGTGCCGTCGCCCCAGACGGCGGCGGCGCCGGTGAGAAGCCCGGAGCGCCGTTGCCCTGATACCCAGGTCCTCCTCCTCCTACTCCTCCTACTACTCCGGCGCCCAACACCCCCGCCGGGCGGCGAATGCCGAATCCCCGGGGCGACGACTCCGACGGGCCCCGGCTGCATCGCCCCGGGGCCGCGCCCGGCCGCCGCGGCCGCTGCCGCTGCTGCGGCGGCAGCGGCCCTCATCGCTGCCACCGCCGCCTGCTGCTGCTGCTGCTGCTGCTGCAGCGACGCCACGGCCGAGGAGGAGGAGGAGGAGGAGGAGGCGGCCGGTCCGCCGGCGCCCGCCAGCGCGTGGCCGGGCGCCGTGGCGCGGGCCACCGCCGACTGCGGCTGGCGCTGGGCCGGCGGCCGGCCGGCAAAGCCGCGGCCGCCGCCCGGCCACGCGGCGCCGCCGGCGCCGGCGGCCGCCGCGGCGGCGGCGGCGGCCGGGGCGAGGAGCAGGCGCTGGCCGACGCCGGCGGCGTTCGAGGGCAACCGCGCGGCAAACGCCGCGGTCGACCCGACCGCCACCCCCTGCTGCTGCTGCTGCTGCTGCTGCTGCTGCTGCTGCGCCAGCCTCTGCTGCTGCTGCTGCTGCATCGCCGCCGCAGCCGCCGCCCCCATGGGGCTGTGCGTGGCGCGGGGGTGGTGCTGGGAGGAGCCTCCGTAGAGGGCCGCGGCGGCCGCGGCCGCCGCGGCCGCCGCTACGGCGGCCGCGGCCGCGGCGCCGCCCGCCGCCGCCGCGGCCGTAGCGGCGCTGGGACCGGCGCCGCCGGCGGCTGCAGCCGCAGGCGGCGCCGGCGGGTAGACGGTGCCGGAGACCGGACTCTGGTTTGGCGTGTCCACCACCACCAGCTGCTGCTGCTGCTGCTGTTGTTGAAGCTGCTGCTGCTGCTGCTGCTGCCCCATGACCTGCAGCAGGCTGGGCATCCGCTGCTGCGACGCGGCGAGAGGGCCCGGCTGGGACGTCACCGCTGGCGTCCGTGGGCGGGGGTGGGCGGTTCGGGAGGGGAGGTGGAGGAGGGAGAGGGGAGAGAGGGAGAGAGGGAGGGGAGGGAGAGGAGGGGAGGTGGAGAGAGGGGAGGGAGAGAGAGGAGGGAGAGAGGGGAGGGAGAGAGGGAGAGAGGGAGAGAGGGAGGGGAGGAGGGAGAGAGGGAGGAGAGGTGAGAGAGGGAGGGGAGGTGGAGGAGGGAGAGGGGAGAGAGGGGAGGGAGAGAGGGAGGGAGGGGAGAGGAGGGGAGGGAGAGGAGGGAGGGAGAGAGGGAGGGAGAGAGGGAGGGGAGGTGAGAGAGGGAGAGAGGGAGGGGAGGTGAGAGAGGGAGAGAGGGGATTGGTAGAGGAGATGGTCAGGTGTGTGTGTGTGTGCGTGAGAGAGAGAGACAGAGCGAGAACAGAGAGACTGTGTTTAGAAATCACAGCCAGCCCCGGGGGGTCCCGTACAGATTCAATGGCGGAGTTGCCCGGTTACAATCCCTCCGAGCTTGGCGAATTTCAAACCCAGACTCCCCGCCACCACAGTACCGAGGCTGCTGTAGATGACAGAGCGGATCGCCGGATTCACACCGAAGTGGTCTGTCTTGTTGGCGTTGGGTCACGTGAAGTTTCAACGCTGGCGCCCAAAAACCCTCCACCGCCCGACAAGGCCAATCGGCAAGGGGCTCGTCACGTTAACAAAACGCCAAATGGTTACTGGTGTAGTGTGTGGTGTAGTGTGTAGTGTATAGTAGTGTAGTGTATGGTGGTGTAGTGTATAGTTTAGTGTATGGTGTAGTGTAGTGTGTAGTGTAGTGTATGGTGTAGTGTATAGTAGTGTAGTGTATGGTGGTGTAGTGTATAGTAGTGTAGTGTATAGTAGTGTAGTGTATAGTAGTGTAGTGTATAGTAGTGTAGTGTATAGTAGTGTAGTGTATAGTAGTGTAGTGTATAGTAGTGTATAGTAGTGTAGTGTATAGTAGTGTAGTGTATAATAGTGTAGTGTATAGTAGTGTAGTGTATAGTAGTGTAGTGTATAGTAGTGTAGTGTATAGTGTAGTGTATAGTAGTGCAGTGTATAGTAGTGCAGTGTATAGTAGTGGAGTGTATAGTAGTGTATAGTGTATAGTAGTGTATATTGTATAGTAGTGTATAGTAGTGTGTAGTGTTTAGTAGCGTACAGTGTAGTGTAGTAAACAACTTCTGGCAACCAGTGTGTTGTAGAGTGAATCCACAACATTAACAATTTTAAATGTTGGGGATTACAATTGTAAATGTTGTGGATTACAATTGTAAATGGTGTGGATTACAATTGTAAATGTTGTGGATTACAACTGTAAATGTTGTGGATTACAATTGTAAATGTTGTGACACGTGGACCCCCCTAAATGTCTGGATAAAGTCCCATCGGTGAGCTCCTCCGGCAGGCAAGGCTGCGATGGCTGGGTCATGTAGCCCGCATGCCCAGCCACCGCATGCCCAAACAGCTTTTGTTTGGCCGGATTGAGGGGGCTAAGCGGGCGCGGCACGGGCTAGAGAAGAGATTGAGTGACGTGGTACAGGAGGACGTGGAGCTGAGTGGACTTGCCGATGACCGGTACCAGCGGTGTCAAGATCGGCCTCTGTGGAGGAGGCTCGTGAAGGATGCTACTGGGCAGTTTGGAGGTAGTCGCCCTCCAACAACAAAGGAGGGTGGAGGAGCGACGCTCACAACGAGCGGAGCGCCGGGTGGCTAAAGCACAGCAGGTTGGCACAGTAGGGGCACAGGTGGTGCATCAGCCAGTCATCTCAGTCAGTCTCGGCCAGTCGACCCGTGGCACCTGGGTCTGCCCCGTGACCTCCTGCCAGCGGGCGTTTGACACTTCACGTGGCCTCACGGTGCACATAGCCTGGCACAAGCGTCGTGGTGACGTCACCGCCACTTAGTGGCGAATGGCGGTTGTTGTTGTTGAGTACCCGTGTGTGTGTGTGTAAGCACCTGTGTGTGTGTGAGTGAGTGCGAGTACGTGTGTGTGTGCACGTGCCCGTGTGTGTGCGTGTGTGAGAGTACCGTGTGTGTGCGTGTGTGTACCTGTGTGTGTGTGTGCGTGTGTGTGCGCATGTGTGTGCGCGTGTATCTGTGTGTACCTGTGTGTGTGTGCGTGTGTGTACCTGTGTGTGTGTGTGCGTGTGTGTACCTGTGTGTGTGTGCGTGTGTGTACCTGTGTGTGTGTGCGTGTGTGTACCTGTGTGTGTGTGCGCGTGTGTGTACCTGTGTGTGTGTGTGCGTGTGTGTACCTGTGTGTGTGTGCGTGTGTGTACCTGTGTGTGTGTGTGTGCGTGTGTGTACCTGTGTGTGTGCGCGTGTGTGTGTACCTGTGTGTGTGGGGAGCGATAGTGTAGCGGTTAGCACTACGCTGCGCTATGAACCTGGCGACCCGGGTTCGATTCCCGCTCACGGCCAACACCAGTGACGATTATCTGAACCGGTGCCGGGCCTCCCCTAGGTCGACTCAGCCTCAAATGAGTACCTGGTGCGGTGTGTAAACATCGCCACTAGGGAGACAAAGGCGGTCGGGCGTGGTGCTGGCCACCCACCCCCTCGTGTACCGTTCCGGCCTTCATAGGTGCTCGCTAACAGCACTTGCCCCTACAGTCTGTTAAGGCTATACGGGGGATCTTTATCTTTGTCTTTGTACCTGTGTGTGTGTGTACCTGTGTGTGTGTGTGCGTGTGTGTGTACCTGTGTGTGTGTACCTGTGTGTGTGTGTACCTGTGTGTGTGTGTGCGTGTGTGTGTACCTGTGTGTGTGTGTACCTGTGTGTGTGTGTACCTGTGTGTGTGTGTACCTGTGTGTGTGTGCGCGTGTGTGTACCTGTGCGTGTGTGTACCTGTGTGTGTGTGTACCTGTGTGTGTGTGTGTGCGTGTGTGTACCTGTGTGTGTGTGTACCTGTGTGTGTGTGTACCTGTGTGTGTGTGCGCGTGTGTGTACCTGTGCGCATGTGTGCGCGTGTGTGTACCTGTGTGTACCTGTGTGTGTGTACCTGTGTGTGTGTGTACCTGTGTGTACCTGTGTGTGTGTACCTGTGTGTGTACCTGTGTGTGTGTGTACCCGTGTGTACCTGTGTGTGTGTACCTGTGTGTGTGTACCTGTGTGTGTGTGTACCTGTGTGTGTGTGTGCGTGTGTGTACCTGTGTGTGTACCTGTGTGTGTACCTGTGTGTGTGTGTGTACCTGTGTGTGTACCTGTGTGTGTATGTGCGTGTGTGTACCTGTGTGTATGTACCTGTGTGTGTGTACCTGTGTGTGTGTGTACCTGTGTGTGTACCTGTGTGTGTGTGTACCTGTGTGTGTGTGTACCTGTGTGTGTGTGTACCTGTGTGTGTTTACCTGTGTGTGTGTGTGTACCTGTGTGTGTGTGTGTACCTGTGTGTGTGTGTACCTGTGCGTGTGTGTACCTGTGTGTGTGTACCTGTGTGTGTACCTGTGTGTGTGTGTACCTGTGTGTGTACCTGTGTGTGTACCTGTGCGCATGTGTGTGCGTGTGTGTACCTGTGTGTGTGTGCGTGTGTGTACCTGTGTGTGTGTACCTGTGTGTGTGTGTACCTGTGTGTGTGTGTGTACCTGTGTGTGTGTGTGTACCTGTGTGTGTGTGTGTGTACCTGTGTGTGTGTGTACCTGTGTGTGTGTGTACCTGTGTGTGTGTGTGTGTGTACCTGTGTGTGTGTGCGTGTGTGTGTGTACCTGTGTGTGTGTGTGTGTACCTGTGTACTGGCCGCTGAACAGACTCCGCTGTTGGTCCGAGTACTCTGGCGGTGGCCGTGTGAGGTGCCTGCGGATCTGCTCCTGCTGCTGCAGCTGCTTCTCCTGCACCGCAACCACCACCACCACCACCGCAACCAACACCACCACCACCACCACGGTTACCACAGTTACCGGCATCGCCAGCGTCGCCGCCACCACCACCACCACCAGCGTCACCATCACAACCACCACCAGCGTCACCACCACCGCCAGCGTCACCACCACCGCCAGCGTCACCACCGTCACCGCCAGTGTCACCACCACCACCACCAGCGTCACCACCACCACCACAACCACCAACGTCGCCACCACCATCGCCACCACCACCACCAGCGTTGCCACCACCACCGCCGTCACCACCAGCGTCACCACAAGTGTCGTCACCACCGCCGTCACCACCGTTACCACCGCCACCACCACCGTCACCGCCACCACCACCGCCGTCACCACCAGCGTCACCACCACCACCGTCACCACCACCAGCGTCACCACCACCAGCGTCACCACCACCAGCGTCGCCACCGCCACCGACAGCGTTGCCGTCACCACCGTCACCGCCGTCACCACGGTTACCACCATTGCCACCATTATACCACCACAAAGACAAAGATCCCCCGTATAGCCTTCAACAGACCGTTGGGGCAAGTGCCGGCTATCGAGCAGCACCTATGAAGCCCGCCGGCACTGTGGCACACACACAGAGGGGGTGGGTGGCCAGCACCACCAAGCCCGGCCGTCTTTGTCTCTCTCCCAGTGCTGGCGATGTTCACAACTACACCACCGCTGCACCAGCGACAACTCCTTTGAGCCACAGTCCCAGGACCGGTTCAGAGAATCGTCACCGGTGGTGTTGGCCGTGAGCGGGAATCCAACTCGGTTCGCCGGGTTCCCGGCGCAGACTCGCTAACACCGCTACCGCCGCTGCTGCCGCCGCTGCTACAGTTACCGCTGCTGCTGCTGCTACAGTTACCGCTGCTACACCGCTACCGCTGCTGCCGCTGCATTTACAGCTGCTACACCGCTACCGCTGCTGCTGCTACAGTTACCGCTGCTGCTGCTGCTACAGTTACCGCTGCTACACCGCTACCGCTGCTGCTGCTACAGTTACCGCTGCTGCTGCTGCTACAGTTACAGCTGCTACACCGCTACCGCTGCTGCTGCTACAGTTACCGCTGCTGCTGCTGCTACAGTTACCGCTGCTACACCGCTACCGCTGCTGCTGCTACAGTTACCGCTGCTGCTGCTGCTACAGTTACCGCTGCTACACCGCTACCGCTGCTGCTGCTACAGTTACCGCTGCTGCTGCTACAGTTACCGCTGCTACACCGCTACCGCTGCTGCTGCTACAGTTACCGCTGCTGCTGCTGCTGCTACAGTTACCGCTGCTGCTGCTGCTGCTACATTTACAGCTGCTACACCGCTACCGCTGCTGCTACAGTTACCGCTGCTGCTACATTTACAGCTGCTACACCGCTGCTGCTGCTGCTACAGTTACTGCTGCTGCTGCAGACGTTACCGCTGCTGCTGCTACAGTTACTGCTGCTACACCGCTACCGCTGCTGTTGCTGCTGCTACAGTTACCGCTGCTGCTACATTTACAGCTGCTACACCGCTACCGCTGCTGCTACAGTTACCGCTGCTGCTGCTGCAGACGTTACCGCTGCTGCAGCTGCTACAGCTGCTACACCGCTACCGCTGCTGCTGCTACAGCTACCGCTGCTGCTGCATTTACAGCTGCTACACCGCTACCGCTGCTGCTGCTACAGTTACCACTGCTGCTGCTACAGTTATCGCTGCTACACCGCTACCGCTGCTGCTGCTGCTGCTACAGCTACCGCTGCTGCTGCTGCATTTACAGCTGCTACACCGCTACCGCTACAGTTACCGCTGCTGCTGCTACAGCTGCTACACCGCTACAGCTGCTGCTGCTACAGTTACAGCTGCTACAGTTACAGCTGCTACACCGCTACTGCTGCTGCTGCTGCAGACGTTACTGCTGCTGCTGCTACAGTTACCGCTGCTGCTGCTACAGTTACCGCTGCTACAGTTACAGCTGCTACAGTTACAGCTGCTACACCGCTACTGCTGCTGCTGCTGCAGACGTTACTGCTGCTGCTGCTACAGTTATCGCTGCTGCTGCTACAGTTACCGCTGCTACAGTTACAGCTGCTACAGCTGCTGCTGCAGACGCTACTGCTGCTGCAGCTGCTACTGCTGCTGCAGCTGCTACAGTTACAGCTGCTGCTACAGTTACAGCTGCTACAGCTGCTACTGCTGCTGCAGCTGCTACTGCTGCTGCAGCTGCTACAGTTACAGCTGCTGCTACAGTTACAGCTGCTACAGCTGCTGCTACACCGCTACCGCTGCTGCTGCTGCTGCTACAGTTACAGCTGCTACAGCTCCTGCTACAATCACAGCTGTTGCAGGTGCTACTGCTGCAGATGCTGTTGCAGGTGCTACTGTTGCAAGTGCTACTGCTGCTACAGTAAGAGCTGCTACAGATGCTGTTGCAGGTGCTGCTGTTGCAGGTGATACTGCTGCTGCAGGTGCTGCTGTTGCAGGTGCTACTGCTGCTACAGTAAGAGCTGCTACATATGCTGTTGCAGGTGCTGCTGTTGCAGGTGATACTGCTGCTACAGTAAGAGCTGCTACATATGCTGTTGCAGGTGCTGCTGTTGCTACAGTAAGAGCTGCTACAGATGCTGTTGCAGGTGCTGCTGTTGCAGGTGATACTGCTGCTGCAGGTGCTGCTGTTGCAGGTGCTACTGCTGCTACAGTAAGAGCTGCTACAGATGCTGTTGCAGGTGCTACTGTTGCTACCGTAAGAGCTGCTACAGATGCTGTTGCAGGTGCTGCTGTTGCAGGTGATACTGCTGCTGCAGGTGCTGCTGTTGCAGGTGCTACTGCTGCTACAGTAAGAGCTGCTACAGATGCTGTTGCAGGTGCTACTGTTGCTATCGTAAGAGCTGCTACAGATGCTGTTGCAGGTGCTGCTGTTGCAGATGCTGTTGCAGGTGCTGCTGTTGCAGGTGATACTGCTGCTACAATAAGAGCTGCTACAGATGCTGTTGCAGGTGCTGCTGTTGCAGGTGCTACTGCTGCTACAGTAAGAGCTGCTACAGATGCTGTTGCAGGTGCTGCTGTTGCTACAGTAAGAGCTGCTACAGATGCTGTTGCAGGTGCTGCTGTTGCAGGTGATACTGCTGCTGCAGGTGCTGCTGTTGCAGGTGCTACTGCTGCTACAGTAAGAGCTGCTACAGATGCTGTTGCAGGTGCTGCTGTTGCTACAGTAAGAGCTGCTACAGATGCTGTTGCAGGTGCTGCTGTTGCAGGTGATACTGCTGCTGCAGGTGCTGCTGTTGCAGGTGCTACTGCTGCTACAGTAAGAGCTGCTACAGATGCTGTTGCAGGTGATACTGCTGCTGCAGGTGCTGCTGCTGCAGGTGCTACTGTTGCAGGTGCTGCTGCTACAGTAAGAGCTGCTACAGATGCTGTTGCAGGTGCTGCTGTTGCAGGTGATACTGCTGCTGCAGGTGCTGCTGTTGCAGGTGCTACTGCTGCTACAGTAAGAGCTGCTGCTGCAGGTGCTACTGTTGCAGGTGCTGCTGTTGCAGGTGATACTGCTGCTGCAGGTGCTGCTGTTGCAGGTGCTACTGCTGCTACAGTAAGAGCTGCTGCTGCAGGTGCTACTGCTGCTGCTGTGTACCTGCTGCTCCATCAGCCGCCTCCTGTAGTGCTCCTGCTCAATGAGCCGCTGCCTCTCGTCCACCATGAGCATCTTCTGCTTCAGCAGCGACGACTGCGTGGGGTCCCCCAGGAAGGGCCCCCCACCACCGGGGGGCCCCCCACCACCGGGGGGCCCCCCACCACCGGGGACCCCCCCACCGCTGACGCCGCCCGGGACTCCAGGCCCGCAGGGCCGGGGTCCCATCATGGCCGCGGCTTGCTCCTGCAAAGAGAAAATAAGAAGGACAGGGGGGGCGGGGTCAAGGTGGACTCGGAGATGTTGACTACCTCGCCTGGTACACAGGAGGTCGTGGGTTCAATCCCAGACACTGAGAGATGTTGACTACCTCGCCTGGTACGCAGGAGGTCGTGGGTTCAATCCCAGACACTGAGAGATCTTGACTACCTCGCCTGGTACACAGGAGGTCGTGGGTTCAATCCCAGACACTGAGAGATGTTGACTACCTCGCCTGGTACACAGGAGGTCGTGGGTTCAATCCCAGACACTGAGAGACGTTGACTACCTCGCCTGGTACACAGGAGGTCGTGGGTTCAATCCCAGACACTGAGAGATGTTGACTACCTCGCCTGGTACACAGGAGGTCGTGGGTTCAATCCCAGACACTGAGAGATGTTGACTACCTCGCCTGGTACACAGGAGGGCGTGGGTTCGATCCCAGACACTGAGAGATGTTGACTACCTCGCCTGGTACACAGGAGGTCGTGGGTTCAATCCCAGACACTGAGAGATGTTGACTGCCTCGTCTGGTACACAGGAGGTCGTGGGTTCAATCCCAAACACTGAGAGATGTTGACTACCTCGCCTGGTACACAGGAGTTCGTGGGTTCAATCCCAGACACTGAGAGATGTTGACTACGTCGCCTGGTACACAGGAGGTCGTGGGTTCAATCCCAGACACTGAGAGATGTTGACTACCTCGCCTGGTACACAGGAGGTCGTAGGTTCAATCCCAGACACTGAGAGACGTTGACAACCTCGCCTGGTACGCAAGAGGTCGTGGGTTCAATCCCCGACACTGAGAGATGTTGACTACCTCGCCTGGTACGCAGGAGGTCGTGGGTTCAATCACAGACACTGAGAGATGTTGACAACCTCGCCTGATACGCAGGAGGTCGTGGGTTCTATGCCAGACACTGAGAGATGTTGACTACCTCGCCTGGTACGCAGGAGGTCGTGGGTTCAATCCCAGACACTGAGAGATGTTGACTACCTCGCCTGGTACACAGGAGGTCGTGGGTTCGATCCCAGACACTGAGAGATGTTGACTACCTCGCCTGGTACGCAGGAGGTCGTGGGTTCAATCCCAGACACTGAGAGATGTTGACTACCTCGCCTGGTACACAGGAGGTCGTAGGTTCAATCCCAGACACTGAGAGACGTTGACAACCTCGCCTGGTACGCAAGAGGTCGTGGGTTCAATCCCCGACACTGAGAGATGTTGACTACCTCGCCTGGTACGCAGGAGGTCGTGGGTTCAATCCCAGACACTGAGAGATGTTGACTACCTCGCCTGGTCCGCAGGAGGTCGTGGGTTCAATCCCGACCTTGACGATGCCTGCTGCTGTATATTTGTAGTCTGTCTCTCTCTCTCTCTCTCATCATCATCACGGTGGCTGAGATGTTAACACGCAGGCCTTCATCAGGGTCCAGGATTGAACCCACGTCCTCCTGCGTACCAGGCGAGGTAATTAACATCTCCTAGCCATCGTGATGATGATGAGAGAGAGAGACGCAGACTCCAAATTTACAGCAGCAGCAGCAGGCATCGTGAGGGTCCGGGATCGAACCTACAACCTCCTGTAGACCAGGCAAGGTAGTCAACATCTCATAGCCACCGTGATGATGATGATGAGACAGAGAGACGCAGACTCCAAATCTACAGCAGCAGCAGCAGGCACCGTGAGGGTCCGGGATCGAACCTACGACCTCCGGGAGACCAGGCAAGGTAGTTAACATCTCTCAGTGTACGGGATCGAACCCACGACCTCCTGCGTACCAGGTGAGGTAGTCAACATCTCATAGCCACCGTGATGATGATGAGACAGAGAGACGCAGACTCCAAATCTACAGCAGCAGCAGCAGCAGGCATCGTGAGGGTCCGGGATTGAACCCACGACCTCCTGTAAACCAGGCGAGGTAGTTAACATCTCACCTTTAACAGACTGTTGGGGCAAGCGCTGTTAGTGATCAGCACCTACGAAGGCCGGCACGGCACACGAGGGGGTGGGTGGCCAACACCACGCCCGGCCGCCTTTGTCTCCCCTAGTGGCGATGTTTGCTACACCGCAGCAGGTACTTATTTTGAGGCTGAGTGGACCTATGAGAGGCCCACGACCGGTTCAGATAATCGTCACTGGGGTGGTGTTGGTTGCCGTGAGCGGGAGTCCAACTGGAGTGTCTGCCAGGTTCGTAGCGCAGCGTAGCGCTAACCGCTGCACCACCACTCACAGACACACGCAGACAGAGACACACAGACACACACACAGAGAGACACACACAGAGAGACACACACAGAGACACACACACAGAGACATACACACAGAGACACACACACAGAGACACACAGACACAGAGAGACACACACAAACACACACACACACAGAGAGACACACACAGAGAGACGCACACACACACACAGACACACACAAACACACACACAAACACACACACAGAGACACACACAAACACACACACACAGAGAGAGACACAATAAACACACACACAGACATACACAGAGAGACGCACACAAACACACACACACAGAGACACAGAGAGACACACACACAAACACACACACAGACACAAACACAGACACACACAGAGAGACACACACAGACAAACACACACACAGACACACACAGAGAGACACACACAGACAAACACAAACACATACACACACAGAGAGACACACACAAACACACACACAGACACACACAGAGAGACACACACAGACAAACACACACACAGACACACAGAGAGACACACACAAACACACACAGACACACACAGAGAGACACACAAACACACACACAGACACACAGAGAGACACACACAGACAAACACATACACACACAGAGAGACACACACAAACACACACACAGACACACACAGAGAGACACACAAACACACAGACACACACACAGACAAACACACACACACACAGACAAACACACACACAGACAAACACACACAGACAAACACAAACACACACACAAACACACACAGACAAACACACACACAGACAAACACACACAGACAAACACAAACACACACAAACACACACAGACAAACACAAACACACACACACACACAAACACACACACAGACAAACACAAACACACACACAGAGACACACACAGACAAACACACACACAGACACACACACAGACAAACACACACTCACACACAGACACACACACAAACACACACACAAACACACAGAGACACACACACAGACACACACTCGCACACGCACACAGACACACGCACACAGTCAGTCACACACGCACACAGACACACACAGACACACGCACACAGTCAGTCACACACTGACACACACACACAGACACACAGACACACGCACACAGACACACGCACACAGTCAGTCACACACTGACACACACACACACAGACACACAGACACACGCACACAGTCAGTCACACACGCACGCAAAACCCGCACCCGGCTGTACCTGCGTGAGATGCGGCGCCAGCTGCCTGTACTGCAGGCTGGCCGCGTGCATCATCCGCTGCTGCTGCTGCTGCAGCTTCATGAGATGAAAATGTTTCTGTTGCTCCAGCGGATGGTGCTGCTGCTGCTGCTGCTGCCTCTGCTGCTGCTGCTGCTGCTGCTGCGGGGCAAAGCCAACAGGCGTCACCGCCCCCACCGCCTTGACCCTCGACGCCAGCATCGCGGCCGCAGCAGCCGCGGCAGCGGCCGCGGCGGCGGAACTCTGCGTGGGCTCCGGGTCGAAGTGTGAAAGGGGCTTCGTGTTGTCGAACGTCAACTGAAGCTGCTGCTGCTGCAGCTGCTGCTGCTGCTGCTGTTGCTGCTGTTGCTGCTGCAGCTGCTGCTGCTGCTGTAGCAGCTGCTGCTGCTGCTGCTGTTGTTGTTGTAGCAGCTCGGGAACATCCCGGTGCATCATAGACGCCATGTGACTCAGGTGCTGCTGCTGCTGCTGTTGCTGCTGCTGTTGTTGTTGCTGTTGTTGTTGTTGCGCCGATCCGGCAAACATGTAACCGCCACCGCCGCCGCCGCCGCCGCCGCCGGCGCCGGCCACCACCAGCGCCTTCGCAGGTCCAGCGCCGCCAACCATGGCCACACCGCCATTGGTGCCGCCACCTTGGAGTGCCGCCCCCATGTTGCCCTGCAGTATGGCGCTGTGGGAGGACGCAAAGCCCTGCTGCTGCTGCTGCTGCTGCGTCATGGGTGGCCAGTTCATCACCTGCTGCTGCTGCTGCTGCTGCAGTTTGGCGCGCTGCTGGCTAGCGGCGATCTGCTGCAGCTGCTGCGCCGGCGATGGCTCGATCTGTCCGTGGAACGGTCGGCAAGTCAGCTGCTGCTGCTGCTGCTGCTGCTGCCCAGAGGGCAGCGGCCTCATGGGAGAGTTCGCCACCAAGTTGCCGTAGCCCGGCGACATGACCTGCCTCAGGCCGGGGCTGGGAGCGCCGGCGAGGGGCGAGCACTTGGCCGCGGTGCCGTTGGCGCCGGCCGCCGCTGTCGCGGCCGCGGCCGCGGCCGCGGCGGCCGCGGCTGCGGCCGCCGCCGCTGTCGCGGCCGCGGCCGCCGCCTGCTTGTTCAGCTGCTGCTGCTGCTGCTGCTGCTGATACTGCTGCTGATGATGCTGCTGATGATGCTGCTGCTGATGCTGCTGCTGCTGCTGATGCTGCTGCTGATGCATGGCGCCGGCATCGTCCGTCGAACAAACCGCAGACGGTGGCGCGACCGAGCCGCCGCCGCCGCCGCCGCCAATATTCTTACCGATGCCACCACCGTGACTATTGCTGCTGGTGCTTTGGCTGCGATTGCCGCCACTCCCTGCGGCGGCGTTGCTGCTGCTGCCGCCGCCGCCGCCGCTGGCGCCCGCCCCGGCGCCCGCCCCGCCCAGCATGCTGTCGAAGTCGATGCCGTTCATGTCCTCGTCGCCCAGACCCCGCGTCAGCTCGTCGAGGATGTCCTGCAGCTCCGTGTCGAAGAAGTCGGGGCCCTGCATCATCTCGTCGGCGCTGTCCAGCTCGTCCGCCGGCTCCTGCTTCAGCACGAACGGGGGGCCGCCGGCTCCGGCGGCTCCGCCGGCTCCGGCGGAATCTCCCGCCGCCGACGACGCCGATGCCGCCGCGGCCGCCGCCGGCGTCGTCGGCGTCGGCGTCGGCGTCGGCGGAGCCGTGGAGCCGTTCTGACCGTTCTTGAGAGCGACCGGCTCCAGCCGGGGCGACGACGCCATTGGCTGCGCCGCACCGTGATTGTGCTGCTGCTGCTGCTGCTGTAGCAGCTGGTGGTGATGGTGATGGAGCTGCTGATGCTGCTGCTGCTGGTGGTGGTGATGTTGCTGCTGCTGCTGCTGCTGTTGCTGTTGCTGCTGCTGGTGGTGCTGGTGACCGTGGTGGTGGTGGTGGTGGTGTTGACCATGGTGGTGGTGTTGGTGTTGACCGTGGTGGTGGTGGTGTTGGTGCGGGTGGTGGTGTGGGTGGTGGTGTTCGTGGCTGTGGTGGTGGCCGTGGTGGTGGTGGTGGTGCGGCAGACTGCCCTGCTCCGATTTGATGTCCGGGTTGTTGGCGGCCGGGCCCTGGCGGGCGCCCAAGTCCGGAGGCTCTCCTCGCCGCGGCAGCTTGGCCAGGGGGCCCGCGACGTACGGCGAAGACGACGACGAGGACGACGACGAGGAGGAGGAGGAGGAGGAGGAGGGGGGGGCCGCCGCCGCCGCCGACGAGGAGGAGGAGGAGGAGGAGGGGTCAGGAGGGCCGGGGCCCAGGGCGCCGTTGGGCCGGTCCGGGGGCGCCGACGAGGAGGGCGGGGGAGGTGCGGGCGAGGGGCTCTCGTCCAGCCGCCGCTTCAGCTGTCCCTGCAGCTACGCCGGCAGGGACGGGGGGGGGGGGGGCGGGGGGGCGGTGGGGGGACACGGGGACACGGGGAGAGAGACGGGGAGAGAGACACGGGGGGAGAGACACGGGGAGAGACACGGGGAGGAGGGGAGGGGAGGGGGGACACGGGGAGACGGACACGGGGAGAGACACGGGGAGACGGACGTGGGGAGACGGACACGGGGACACGGACACGGGGAGACGGACACGGGGAGACGGACACGGGGAGACGGACACGGGGAGACGGACGTGGGGAGGAGGGGAGGGGAGGGGGGACACGGGGACACGGACATGGGGAGAGACACGGGGAGACGGACACGGGGAGACGGACACGGGGAGACGGACACGGGGAGACGGACACGGGGAGACGGACGTGGGGAGGAGGGGAGGGTGGACATGGGGAGACGGACACGAGGACACGGACACGGGGAGACAGACACGGGGAGGGGGGACACGGGGAGACAGACACGGGGAGACGGACATGGGGAGGAGGGGAGAGACATGGGAAGGAAGAGGAATGACCTCTTGTCTCTTACACAATTCGATAGTGCTATTTGTACCGCACAGAGACTCAGACTCATCGCACAGAGACTCGCACAGACTCACCGCACAGAGACCCACAGACTTACCGCACAGTGACCCATAGACTCACACAGAGACCCATTGACTCACCACACAAGAGACCCATAGACTCACCGCACAGAGACTCGCACAGACTCACCGCACAGAGACCCACAGACTCACCGCACAGAGACTCACACAGACTCACCGCACAAGAGACCCATAGACTTACCGCACAGAGACCCATAGACTTACCGCACAGAGACCCATAGACTTACCGCACAGAGACCCATAGACTTACCGCACAGAGACCCATTGACTCACCACACAAGAGACCCATAGACTCACCATAGAGACCGTAGACTCACAGAGACCCATTGACTCACAGAGGCCCATAGACTCACCGCATAGAGACCCATAGACTCACAGGAACCCATAGACTCACAGAGAACCATAGACTCACAGCACAGAAACCCATAGACTCACAGAGGCCCATAGACTCACAGAGGCCCATAGACTCACAGAAACCCATAGACTCACTGAGGCCCATAGACTCACAGAGACCCATAGACTCACAGCACAGAGACCCATAGACTCACAGAGACCCATAGACTCACAGAGACCCATAGACTCACAGAGACCCATAGACTCACAGAGACCCATAGACTCACAGCACAGAGACCCATAGACTCACAGAAACCCATAGACTCACAGAGACCCATAGACTCACAGAGGCCCATAGACTCACAGAGACCCATAGACTCACAGCACAGAGACCCATAGACTCACAGAAACCCATAGACTCACAGAGACCCATAGACTCACAGAGGCCCATAGACTCACAGAAACCCATAGACTCACAGCACAGAGACCCATAGACTCACAGAAACCCATAGACTCACAGAGACCCATAGACTCACAGAGACCCATAGACTCACAGAAACCCATAGACTCACAGAGGCCCATAGACTCACAGAGACCCATAGACTCACTGAGAACCATAGACTCACAGAGACCCATAGACTCACAGAGACGCATAGACTCATAGAGACCCATAGACTCACAGCACAGAAACCCAGACTCACAGAAACCCAGACTCAGACTCACATTGACCCATAGACTCACAGAGACCCATAGACTCACAGAAACCCATAGACTCACATTGACCCATAGACTCACAGAGACCCACGGATTCACAGAGAACCGAACACAAAGCCAACGCACAGCCCCACTGATCGGCGTGGTCAATTACACTCAAAGAACCCCCGCCCCACACGGCTCTGAAGTGATCCTCATCATCCAGCAGTGGAGAGAAGCAAGCGCCGTCGAACGATCGCCGTCAACAGCGAACACCAAACGGCGCCTTGCCTAGATCTCCCACCCCGTTCGGAGTGCACGCGGTCCCGCAGAACTGAGTAGGCCTCACACCCCCCCTCTACGAGCTATCTCCCCCCACCCCCGGGGCTTGCCTGAACGTCCCGCCTTGTCACAATGTACGTGGTCCCGCAGAACCGAGTAGGCCTCACACCCCCGCTTCTACGAGCTATCTTCCCCCCCCCCCCCACCCCGGGCTTGCCTGAACGTCCCGCCTTGTCAAAATGTACTTGGTCCCGCAGAACCGAGTAGGCCTCACACCCCCGCCTCTACGAGCTATCTCCCCCCCCTCCCACCCCCGGGCTTGCCTGAATGTCCCGCCTTGTCACAATGTACTTGGTCCCGCAGAACCGAGTAGGCCTCACACCCCCCCCCCCCCCTCTACGAGCTATCTCCCCCCACCCCCGGGCTTGCCTGAACGTCCCGCCTTGTCACAATGTACTTGGTCCCGCAGACACTGGTAGGCCTCGCGCCCTCCCTCTACGGGCCCCCGCGGCTTTCCTAGCGGCCGCACCCCGCCGCCCCCACCGCATCCCGGGCGCGTCTCACAACAAACCCCGCGGCGCTGCTGCTGCTGCCGCCGCCGCCGCTAACTGGCGACAAACGCGTTGTTGCTCGCGAATGCAACATTTGGAGTCGTGAATAATATTTGGCAAAACCGAAGCAAGTTCCCACTCGCACCGTTCGTGTAAGAATCGCCGGCGTGGTTAAGGCCCCTCACGCGAGGCCTTCACGCGGACGCCGCGGACTTCGTGACAAAGGGAGGCGCGGATTGAGAGCGGGGGAGACGGAGAGCCTCGCGCGCACACACAGAGACTCGCAGAGAGACCCACAGACTCACACAGAGCCCCACAGACTCACACAGAGAACCACAGACTCACACAGAGAACCACATACTCACACAGAGACCCACAGACTCACACAGAGAACGACAGACTCACAGAGACCCACAGACTCACAGAGAACCACAGACTCACACAGAACCACAGATTCACACAGAGAACCACAGACTCACACAGAGAACCACAGACTCACAGAGAACCACAGACTCACACAGGCACTCACACAGAGAACCACAGACTCACACAGAGAACCACAGACTCACAGAGAACCACAGACTCACAGAGAACCACAGACTCACACAGGCGCTCACACAGAGAACCACAGACTCACACAGAGAACCACAGACTCACACAGAGAACCACAGAGACTTACACAAAGAACCACTCACACAGAGGCTCACACAGAGGCTCACACAGAGATTAAGAGAGACTCACACAGACTCACACAGAGACTCAAGACTCACACAGATAACCATAGACTCGCACATAGAAACCACAGATCCACTCACACAGGGAACCATAGACTAGCACATAGACCCACAAACTCACAGAGAGAGCCACAGACTCACACAAAGAACCGCAGACTCACACAAAGACTCACACAGAGACCCACAGACTCACACAAGCACTCACACAGAGAACCACAGACTCACAGAGAACCAGACTCACACAGAGAGCCACAGACTCACACAAGCACTCACACAGATAACCACAGACTCACTCACACAGAGAACCATAGACTCACAGAGGACCACAGACTTACACAGAGACCCACAGACTCACACAGAGAACCACAGACTCACACAGAGAACCACAGACTCACACAGAGAACCATAGACTCACAGAGAACCACAGACTCACAGAGACCCACAGACTCACACAGAAAACCACAGACTCACACAGGCACTCACACAGAGAACCACAGACTCACACAGAGAACCACAGACTCACACAGAGAACCACAGACTCACACAGAGAACCACAGACTCACAGAGAACCACAGACTCACACAGAGAACCACAGACTCACAGAGAACCACAGACTCACACAGAGGCTCACACAGAGAACCACAGACTCACAGAGAACCAGACTCACACAGAGAACCACAGACTCACACAGAGAACCACAGACTCACACAGAGACCCACAGACTCACAGAGAACCACAGACTCACACAGAGAGCCACAGAGACTTACACAAAGAACCAGACTCACACAGAGGCTCACACAGAGACTCGGAGACTCACACAGAGACTCGGAGACTCACACAGAGACTCGGAGACTCACACAGAGACTCGGAGACTCACACAGAGACTCGGATACTCACACAGAGACTCGGAGACTCACACAGAGACTCAGACTCGCACAGATAACCATAGACTCACACATAGACCCACAAACTCACATAGAGAACCACAGAGGCTTACACAAAGAACCAGACTCACACAGAGACTCGGAGACTCACACAGAGACTCACACAGAGAGCCACAGAGACTCAGACTCACACAGAGAACCACAGACTCACACAGAGACTCACACAGAGGCTCACACAGAGACTCGGAGACCCACACAGAGACTCACACAGAGAGCCACAGAGACTCACACAGAGAGCCACAGAGACTCAGACTCACACAGAGAACCACAGACTCACACAGAGGCTCACACAGAGACTCAGACTCACACAGAGACTCAGACTCACACAGAGAACCATAGACGCGCACATGTGTCTCTGTGGGTCTCGATGTCTTTGGAGTAATTTTTTTGTCCGCTATAAATGTTCACGACGATGATGATGATATCAGGGACACTTTGTGGACGTCCTGTGGTTGGGAAACGGAGCAATGGAATTACTAGACTAGGGGCAGACGCATCCCATCAATAGTGTATAGTGTAGTTTAGTAGTGTATAGTGTAGTGTATAGTGTAGTAGTGTATAGTGTAGTGTATAGTGTAGTGTATAGCAGTGTAATATATAGTGTAGTTAATTGTGTAGTAAATAGTGTATAGTAGTGTAGTGTATAGTAGTGTATAGTATATAGTGGTGTAGTGTATAATGTAGTATATAGTGTAGTGTAACGTGCAGCGTCTATGCCTATCCATCCAACCCCGCACACCACCACCACCGCCACCCCTACCACCACCACCCCCACCATCACCACCACCCCCACCATCACCCCCACCACCACCCACACCACCCCCACCACCCCCACCCCCCCCACCCCCCCCCCCACCACCCCCCCCCCCACCCAAATCCCCCCCACCACCACCACCCCCACCCCTACCACCCGCACCCCTACCACCACCACCATCACCCCCCCCCCACCCCCACCACCCCTACCACCACCACCATCACCCCCCCACCACCCCTACCACCCCTACCACCACCACCCCTACCACCACCACCCCTACCACCACCCCCACTACCATCACCACCACCACCCCCACCACCACCCCCACCACCACCACCCCCACCACCACCCCCACCACCACCACCACCCCTACCACCACCACCACCCCTACCACCACCATCATCACCACCACCACCACCCCTACCACCACCACCACCACCCCCACCACCACCACCCCCACCACCACCACCACCAACTCACCGCGATGAGGGTGCAGTTTCTCGGCTCGGCGTACGGCGTAGAGACGCTGGGACCTCCACCTCCTCCTCCACCTCCTCCACCACCTCCTCCCTCAACGTCAGCACCACCACAGCCAACGTTGTTGTCCCTTGCAGACTGGACAGCAGCTACAGCTACTGCTGCTGCCTGCTGATGTCGTAATGCAAGTTGCTGCTGCTGCTGCTGTGAAGATGATACCTGCTCGGATTTAACAACTTTTGCTCCTCCATGATGAGCCGCCGCTGCCGCCGCTGCTGCTGTAGCTGCAGCAGCAGCAGACGAGGCGGCAGAAGAAGAAGATGATGATGAAGAAGAAGAAGAGGACTTCTTAGCCCGAGTCTCGAGGTACCGCTGGTGCAGCAGCTGCGACTCGTGGCGTTCGTGCTGCAGTCGCTGAAGCTGAGCCCCATCGTAGCGAGATTCGCACGCGGAGTGGTGCCGACGGCAAAGTTCGATTCGCTGTCTCAGCCTCTCCACCACCGTCCTCTTGGCGGCCAGGCCGAGGCCGGGCGAGGGGCCTCCACCACCTCCACCTCCTCCACCTCCTCCTCCTCCGACGACGACTACGGCTGCCGACGACCCCGCACCAGGAGCTGGGATCGCGCCGCCGGGCATGAGGCTTGAGGCGCCGCCGCCGCCGGGCGTGGTGAAGTCTCCCATCGCGTGGTGGTCGTGGTGGTGGTGATGATGGTCGTGGTGGTGATGATGGTCGTGGTAGTCGTGGTGATGATGGTCGTGGTGACGATGATGGTCGTGGTGACGATGATGGTCGTGGTGACGATGATGGTCGTGGTGGCGATGATGGTCGTGGTGGTGATGGTGGTCGTGGTGGTGGTTCGTTGGGGGTCGTGGAGCTAGAGGGTAGGGGGTGATGGTTGTTATTATTGTAGTGGTGATGGTGGTAGCGGCGGTGGTGATGATGATGGTAGCAGCGGTGATGATGAGGGCGCTGGTAGTGATAGTGGAGATGATGGTGATAGTGGAGGTGATGGTAGTGGTAGGCGATGGTGGTGGTAGGTGATGATGGTGGTAGGTGATGGTGGAGATGATGATGGTGGTAGTGGGTGGTGGTGGTGGAGATGATGATGGTGGTAGTGGGTGGTGGTGGAGATGATGATGGTGGTAGTGGGTGGTGGTGGTGGAGATGATGATGGTGGGTAGTGGTGGTAGTAGGAGATGATGATGATGGTGGGTAGTGGTGGTAGTAGGTGATGGTTGTGGGTGGTGGTGGAGATGATGATGGTAGTGGATGATGGTGGTAGTAGGTGATGGTAGTGGGTGATGTTGGTGGAGATGATGATGATAGTAGGTGATGGTAGTGTGTGGTGGTGGAGATGATGATGGTGATAGTAGGTGGTGGTAGTGTGTGGTGGTGGAGATGATGATAGTAGGTGATGGTAGTGTGTGGTGGTGGAGATGATGGTGATGGTGGTGATGATGGTGGAGTAGGTGGTGGTAGTGTGTGGTGGTGGAGATGATGATGGTGGTGGTAGTAGGTGATGGTAGTGTGTGGTGGTGGAGATGATGGTGATGGAGATGATGATGATAGTAGATGATGGTAGTGTGTGGTGGTGGAGATGATGGTGATGATGATGGTGGTGGTAGTAGATGATGGTAGTGTGTGGTGGTGGAGACGATGATGATGGAGATGATGGTGGTGGTAGTAGATGATGGTAGTGTGTGGTGGTGTAGACGATGGTGGTGGTGGAGACGATGGTGATGATGGTGGTGGTAGTAGATGATGGTAGTGTGTGGTGGTGGAGACGATGGTGGTGGTGGAGACGATGATGATGCAGGCTGCACGATGCCTCCACCCGATCTGTGTGACCCAGAGTCGAACTTGGGCCCTCTCGGTACCTGGGGTGGCACCAGCTGCCGCTGCTGCTGAGACCCACCAATGACTGGTGACTACCTCCTACCTGGCGTAGGTAGGTGGCGAACTTCCTTCACACCGTACGTGGACGACCGTGACAAATACAGTCCCCTGCTATTGCAGCAAGAGTCCTGTACTGCCGTTTCAATGTAGTCTATAGCTACAGAACTTCTAGTTTATCAGTGAAGTCGATAGACTTACTGATAGTTTATCAATGTAGTTTATAGACTACAGAACTTCTAGTTTATCAATTAAGTCTATAGACTTACTGATAGTTTATCAATGTAGTCTATACCTACAGAACTTCTAGTTTATCAGTGAAGTCTATAGACTTACTGATAGTTTATCAATTAAGTGTATAGAGTACAGAACTTCTAGTTTATCAATGAAGTCTATAGACTTACTGATAGTTTATCAATGTAGTCTATAGACTACAGTGCTGATCGTTTATCAATGAGGTCTATATACTTACTGATAGTTTATCAATGTAGTCTATAGATTACAGAACTTCTAGTTTATCAATGAGGTCTATAGACTTAATGATAGTTTATCAATGTAGTCTATAGATTACAGAACTTCTAGTTTATCAATGAGGTCTATAGACTTACTGATAGTTTATCAATGTAGTCTATAGATTACAAAACTTCTAGTTTATCAATGAGGTCTATAGACTTAATGATAGTTTATCAATGTAGTCTATAGATTACAGAACTTCTAGTTTATCAATGAGGTCTATAGACTTACTGATAGTTTATCAAAGTAGTCTATAGACTTACTGACAGTTTATCAATGTAGTCTATAGACTACAGTGCTGATAGTTTATCAATGTAGTCTATAGACTACAGAACTTCTAGTTTATCAATGTAGTCTATAGACTACAGAACTTCTAGTTTAATCAATGTAGTCTATAGACTACAGAACTTCTAGTTTATCAATGTAGTCTATAGACTTACTGATAGTTTATCAATGTAGTATATAGACTTACTGATAGTTTATCAATTAAGTCTATAGCTACATAACTTCTAGTTTATCAATGTAGTCTATAGACTACACTGATAGTTTATCAATGTAGTCTATAGAGTACAGAACTTCTAGTTTAATCAATATAGTCTATAGACGAAACTGATAGTTTATCAATGTAGTCTATAGACTTACTGATAGTTTATCAATGTAGTCTATAGACTTACTGATAGTTTATCAATGAAGTCTATAGACTTACTGATAGTTTATCAATTAAGTCTATAGACTTACTGATAGTTTATCAATTAAGTCTATAGCTACACTGCTGATGGTTTATCAATTAAGTCTATCTACAGAACTTCTAGTTTATCAATGTAGTCTATAGACTTACTGATAGTTTATCAATGTAGTCTATAAACTAAAGCACTGATAGTTTATCAATGTAGTCTATAGACTACAGAACTTCTAGTTTATCAAAGTAGTCTATAGACTTACTGACAGTTTATCAATGTAGTCTATAGACTACAGTGCTGATAGTTTATCAATGAAGTCTATAGACTACAGAACTTCTAGTTTATCAATGTAGTCTATAGACTTACTGATAGTTTATCAATGTAGTCTATACACTTACTGATAGTTTATCAATGTAGTCTATAGACTACAGAACTTCTAGTTTATCAATGTAGTCTATAGACTACAGAACTTCTAGTTTATCAATGAAGTATATAGACTTACTGATAGTTTATCAATGTAGTCTATACACTTACTGATAGTTTATCAATGTAGTCTATAGACTACAGAACTTCTAGTTTATCAATGTAGTCTATAGACTACAGAACTTCTAGTTTATCAATGAAGTCTATAGACTTACTGACAGTTTATCAATGTAGTCTATACACTTACTGATAGTTTATCAATAAAGTCTATAGACTACAGAACTTCTAGTTTATCAATGTAGTCTATAGACTACAGAACTTCTAGTTTATCAATGAAGGAAACAGACCACGGCTCCGATTGCTTCTCAACGTGGTCCACAAGCTGTAGTCCCATCAAGAGGAGGCGATTGTCCTGGGACCCTTCCTCACGTCCCTTCCAAATCGTCCCCTCTTCTTCCGAGGCAAGGAGGAAGACCACCCAACCACCACTTCCAACCTCCTCTGACCACCTCCTCCACTGATGATCCCCTGTCCTCCCTCCCTAGCCACGAGATCTTTCGAGGCGAGACCACGAGATCTATCCAGGCGGGACAAGGATTCAGCCGAAGACAGTCACCGCCGCGTGTATTTGACCATCTCCACCACCACCTCCTCTTCTTCCTCCACCACCTCTCTTCTTCCACCACCACCACCTCCACCACCTCCTCCACCACCTCCTCCTCCACCACCTCCTCCTCTTCCACCACCACCTCCTCCACCTCCTCCTCTTCCACCACCTCCTCCACCACCTCCACCACCACCTCCACTGTCGCTGCCAATTTTCAACATCGCAGTGTCCATGCCATCGCCACGCCGTAAAACCAGGAGGCTCCACATTCAAAGTCTCACCGATTGATCATCGTGGCGATGATGATTGCTGCTCCTTACTGAGACAGCTGCTGCTCTAGTAGCTGGCTGCTGTTGTTGAGATAGCTGTAGTAGTAGTAGCTGTAGTAGTAGCTGGGTGCTGTTGTTGTAGTAGCTGGGTGCTGTTGTTGCAATAGCTGTAGTAGTAGTAGCTGGGTACTGTTGTTAAGATAGCTGTAGTAGCAGTAGTTGGGTGCTGTTGTTGAGATAGCTGTAGTAGTAGTAGCTGGGTGCTGTTGTTGAGATAGCTGTAGTAGTAGTAGCTGTAGTAGTAGCTGGGTGCTGTTGTTGTAGTAGCTGGGTGCTGTTGTTGCAATAGCTGTAGTAGTAGTAGCTGGGTACTGTTGTTAAGATAGCTGTAGTAGCAGTAGTTGGGTGCTGTTGTTGAGATAGCTGTAGTAGTAGTAGCTGGGTGCTGTTGTTGAGATAGCTGTAGTAGTAGTAGCTGTAGTAGCAGTAGTTGGGTGCTGTTGTTGAGATAGCTGTAGTAGTAGTAGCTGGGTACTGTTGTTAAGATAGCTGTAGTAGCAGTAGTTGGGTGCTGTTGTTGAGATAGCTGTAGTAGTAGTAGCTGGGTGCTGTTGTTTAGATAGCTGTGGTAGTAGTGGCTGGGTGCTGTTGATGATGCTGTAGTAGTAGCTGGGTACTGTTGATGCTGTAGTAGTAGTAGCTGTAGTAGTAGCTGGGTGCTGTTGTTGAGATAGCTGTAGTAGTAGCTGTAGTAGTGGCTGGGTACTGTTGATGATGCTGTAGTAGTAGTAGCTGGGTACTGTTGATGATGCTGTAGTAGTAGTAGCTGGGTACTGTTGATGATGCTGTAGTAGTAGTAGGTGGGTACTGTTGATGCTGTAGTAGTAGTAGCTGTAGTAGTAGCTGGGTACTGTTGATGCTGTAGTAGTAGGTGGGTACTGTTGATGATGCTGTAGTAGTAGTAGCTGTAGTAGTAGGTGGGTACTGTTGATGCTGTAGTAGTAGTAGCTGTAGTAGTAGCTGGGTACTGTTGATGCTGTAGTAGTAGGTGGGTACTGTTGATGATGCTGTAGTAGTAGTAGCTGTAGTAGTAGGTGGGTACTGTTGATGCTGTAGTAGTAGCTGGGTACTGTTGATGCTGTAGTAGTAGGTGGGTACTGTTGATGATGCTGTAGTAGCTGTAGTAGTAGCTGGGTACTGTTGATGGTGTAGTAGTAGTAGTAGCTGTAGTAGTAGCTGGGTACTGTTGATGATGTAGTAGTAGTAGTAGCTGGGTACTGTTGATGATGCTGTAGTAGTAGCTGGGTACTGTTGATGATGCTGTAGTAGTAGCTGTAGTAGTAGCTGGGTACTGTTGATGGTGTAGTAGTAG